CACACACACACACACACACACACACACACACACACACACACACACAGCCATAACTCATTTTTTTCAGTGCCGTTGTAACATTTTACAGAATTTTCCTTATTATTTTAGCAAACAATGTCACAACATTTAGAATAATGCATTAACCGGGGTTATACCATATGCAATTAAATAAAGTCACATTTCTGTGAGAATGAAAGCCACTTCTTTCCCACACTGAAAAGTTGTACAAGAAGACATTCTCCTTTTGATAAAACAAAAAAAGATTTAGCTGGGGGTGATCAAATTGGGAAGAAAATAATCTTATTGGCCGGAATGGATCTAGCTCCAACGATGTCATTCCCCTGTACTGATGAATAACACTTAATCTGCACATTAATTCTTCTTACCTTTTCCAAATAGGAGGCCTAATGCAGAGCAGACCCTGGAGCATCCCTGGTTCAAGGTAAATCCTACTACAATAATCTGCCTCTTAGGACAGAGCTGGGAGCCCATTTAGGGTTTTGAGGTGTCCCTCTCTCTGTCTCTCTCTGTCTCTGTCTCTATCTCTCTATCTGTCTCAGAAGCCTAGCAGGCTTGGCTTCTCCCATAAATACTGAGAACAAAACTCACTATGTCCATTTGCTTCACTCTGTACTACCCATTTTCTCTTCCAGACACTGGCCAAGGGCAAGAGTATCAGCACAGATCATCTCAAACTGTTCATATCTCGCAGGAAGTGGCAGGTAAATACCTCCTAGCAATGTGGTGGCAGTTCTTTGGTTGTTTAACAGGAGTCTGCCATTTTTCTCAACCAATAAAAACGGCGAGGAATGAATAAGAAGAGAAGTTCTATCAGGCATAATCCCAACAGCTCACAGCTGCTCCTCAAGGAAAAGATGAATTCCATTTCTAAACTCCATGCTGTACTTTGGAAAACTTTGTACAGAGAAATGGGAAAACTGAGAAATCCCAGTAAATTGCAATGCGTGGTAATATTTGTGCTAATTTACGAATTTATTAATAATGCCTGGCATTGCAGAGGCAAAAAGCCACTTTTCTTCTTGCCGAACACTCAAACACAACTGATATTGTAGGAATAAACAAAACAAAACAGTATTCTTAATTATATGTACCTATATAACAAAACAAAATTCTGAATTATATTTTATTTAACTTTAAAATACTTAGTGACAGCATTCAGAGTGATATATACAAAAAGTAGCTAAATTTGATATAAAAGACTATAAAACAATAAATTAGAAAAGTCAGTGGATAGCTAACTAGCAAAGATCAAAATACAGAACTGCACTATTAGCTGGTCAATGATCTTTAGCTGCAAATCTAACTTCTGGTGACAAGGAATGCTGGTAAATCATGTACTTTTTACTGTCTATTTTGTGTTAACACTTATCATTTGTTTTTCATGGACATATTTAGAAACGATTAATGCACAAAAAGTACAAACATGGTTTTACATGTTTGTAAAAGACATGTTTACTTTTTCCAAGGCTGACCAAAATTGTGTTGTTTTAAGAATGGGCAGCTTATTCTAGTTAAATGGGTCTTGATTAAATATTTTAGCCTAGCAAATATTTTGCCTGCTTAGTCTGTACGAAACAGGATGGGGGATATTATTACTGGATAGGCACAGCAACCAAAGAGGTGGAAGATTTATATATTTTTTCCTGAGTTCCAGCTCATTCAATCTTTTTGTCCTTCCTATACTTTTTTCTACACAGCGCTCCCAAATTAGCTATAAGTGTAACATGGTGCCACGACCTATCCCTGAGCTTCTAGAGGACACATCCACACACTTATCTATTGCTGTGCCACGTCTCCTAAAGGAAACATCAGTCCTATCCTCTTCTTCAGATTCTGATGATCCTGAAGAGCTGCCCTATATTCCTATGCCCCATCAGCCTGAATTTTCTGGTTCCCGGATGTCCCTGACTGAGATTCCCACAGAGGAGGAGTCTGTGGGTCCAGATGGGGCTGTGACGGAGGAGGATACATCCATGGATTGGCAGGATGTAGAGCAGAGAGGAACTAAGAGAAAGGAAGATGTAGAGTCATCCGTGAGGAAACATAAGAGTAAGGTGCCCCAAAAACGTTCCACAGAGGCTGAAGCGCTGGGCTCTTTTGAAGAGGAGACTAGTGATGCCCAGAAAAGGCCAGAGAAAAGGAGGGCACTGAAGAAAGGCTCCAGCCTGGAGTCTCCAGATGCTTCTGACAAAGCCTCACAGAAGGCGGGATTGCGCCGCGGCAGTTCTGCAGATAGTGCCCTTTTGCTCAACCTTCCCTCAGATGAAGCTGAGTCCCTCTCGCGTCCAATCTTGACCAAAGCTTCCTCCATGGAGCTGCCCCGTCGCAGCCCCAGCCCTGGCACATTGTATCATAGGAAAGGTGGCCTCCCTGAGGAAGAATATGCTCAGCGCCTGGAGCTCATGCGCCAGCGCTTACTGCGAGGCAGTCCTGTGGACGGCAAACTGAGTGGCTTGCGGGGGCCCCTGTTGGAGACCCTTGGCCTTGAGAAGAAGGTCCCGAGGCCTCCCCGGTTAGAAAAACAGCTGTCCCCAGGGCATAAGATAGTGCGTGCAGCCTCTACTGAGACAGCCCCACAGCATTTGCCCCCAGAGGGGCGTCTCCTCCAAAAGAGTAGCTCCTTCAGCCAGGGTGATGGGGAGCCTGTCATCCTGCACCGGCGTTCTGGGGCACCATTGGAAATCCCCTTGGTCCAGGCAGAGACTCAGAAATTAAAAGAGACCCCATCCCTCTCAGCACTGAATGAGTCCCGGCCACACACACCACATGAAGCTGTCTCCAAAGTATCCAGCCTCGAGATGGAGGTAGGAACTAAGTCCCTCACTAGGTCTAGCCTGAGAAGACCTATCCCCAGACAATCTGAGGAGAAGCCATCAGCCAGATTTGCCAAACCTGATGCTCCAGTGGCTGGGAAAGCCATGAGCTCCAAACGGGAATCAATACCATCTAGGCAAATCTCACCCATCCCCGGCAGCTCTGCTCCAAAACGTTCTGCTTATGCTGATGTCATGAAGTCTTTGACTGGTGAATCTTCCCAAAGCCCTCAGAAAGAGACCGCTGAACCTTCCATTGTTGCTCCTGAAGGCGTGCCTCAGCAATCCCCCACAGAAATGCCACCCTCTGCTGTGGTCCCCAGCAAAGAGAAAGAGCTTCCCTCCTCCTCATCCCAGCATATTGCGGACATTGACTCTGAAGAAGTCTTTGAAGCCAAATTCAAGAGAGGCAGGGAAGGCTCCTTCAGCAGAGGCTATAAGCTAATCTCCAGATCTGAGGAGCGGCACCTGGCCAAGCCCCTGGTGCATGAAGAAGGCATTTATCGGCCAGGACCAGTGGGGGCTCCGCTAGAATTTTCCAAGTCTCCAGCCCCCAAGCAGCTAGGCGCACGCTCTCGTTCAGTACAGGACCTGCATGAAGTGGAGAAGGAAGGAGGCTTCATCCGCAGAATGTCGATGCGCCTGCGTCGCACTCCCCCTGCTGAGAGAAAGAAGGTCAAGGAGGAGGACACAGGGGGTATGAGCCAGGGGCGCAGATCTTCATGGGGCTTGGCTTCCAAGGACAAAAAGGACACAGAGGGCCAGCAATCCAAGCCTGGCTCCAGTGAATCCCCTGTCATGGCCGTACGCCGCAAGATTGGAAGTAAAGTAGGCCGCCTCTCCACACATCTACGTAGCCACTCACAGCAACAGGCTGATGACGACCAGCCGGTTGCTACTGGCGACTGTGTCCAGCAGCTTGAGAAGAGAGCTCCCTTTCTCTCTCAGATACGCCGTGCAACCTCTGAGGGTGAAAACTTGCGTCAGGTGGGCATCCCACAGAACCAGTTGGCAGCCCAGTCTGCTAAGGTCCCCTCCACAGAATCGTTCCAGTATGAGTCGTCTACAGGCAATGGTGAGCTACAAGTCATTACCTGGGATGGGAAGGGAAAGATTGTGTCAGAGTTTGTTGCAGAAATCAAATCCAGAAAGCATAGACAGGTACCTGATGCAGCAGGATTCATTAACTTCTCTTTTTATACTTAATAACACATAAGTCCTATACAATACAGTGGTGGATACGGGCGGTACGGCCCGGTACGGGTGTACTGGAATGGTGTTTCGGTGGGCCCACCCACTCGCGTTCCTTACCTCTTTTTTGAGGGAAATGGGACAATTGCGCATGCCCGCACAGCGTACAGCGCCTGCATGACCTCGCTGAGCAGCTGCGGCATCGTAGGGCGGTGGCGTGCCTGAGGTGGACGTCTGACCCGGTCACAGAGTACCGGTTGCGACGGGATCCGGAACCCACCACTGATACAATATCAATGGCTGGTTCTTCCAACATGTTAGAGTACAAGCAAACACAGGCAGAGGAGAGGACAGTTTTCAAGTTTCAGTTCAGAGCTCAGACTAGTTTGGGCTTTTGCACAGGTTCAGAGCTGCATAGCACTAAGCCATGTCCAGATTCCTAACTGTCTCCAGCAAATACTGTTTCAGTTTCCAAACAGTCCCCATTGGCTGACCCAGTTGCCCTGTCTATTCATTGGCTGACCTTGTTACCATGTTTTATTCCAGTTCATGAATATACATTGACAGATTTCAAATTGAATTTATGGGCAGGCAGGTCTATATCTAAGGGCTCTTGCTGCTGCATTCTACATTTTGTAAGATGCGTTTGATAGGATTCACATCCTTCACCATATTTATTCCTGAAGATCTAGTAGGGAAACAACATAAGCAACATGTTAACTTTGCAAGTTTAGGCATTTTTTGTGACCACATTGAAATATTCCCTGGCCATATATAACCTTGCACACTGAAATGAGGTAGTCTAGCAGCCAACATTATAGCTTAGTGCACAATACCCTAAGCATGATTGCTGAAATAACTATTTTGGGCATAATACACTAAAACATAAATTCTCATGGTTGTTGTTGGTCTACAAAAAAACTAGCCATGGTTAACCCTGACACATTCAGCATACTATGCAAACGCCGAGTGATAAGCCTTCATCTGACTTGCATAGATGTTTTGTTTTATTTTGTTTTGCCATTTGGAGTTTGATAGACCATCATGAGTCCTACCCCAAAAGTTCCAACCAGCTCAAAATATAATCAAGGATTATACAGTCCCCAAAAGATTTGGGAGGGCACAATTCACAATAAGAAAAATACGAGAAAGTACCGGCATTTCCCAGGCTTTCTGTTCTTTGGGACTGATGGACACAACATGCAATTAAGTAAAAGCCCAGGAGAGAGAATGACATCCCAAGGAGAATTATAAGTAGCATCTCCTGTGTTATGAATTTAGGGAAGGCAGATGTCTCTGAGCTGAAGGGTAAGAGTGAAGAGTTGGATATACAAAAGAATAAAGCATGGCTATGGGGAAGTAGAGCATGTGTAGCACGTGTGAGTAAGCCATGGTTTTGCAGATTCATCAGAAGGGAATCCAGGTTAATTCTGTTGTTCTGATCAAGGAAGAGCCAGCTCATGTTTGTTGCCCCTACAGTTTCCAGTGATGGCCAACGCCGCAGCTCTCGTTGGGAACGCTGGAGTTTATCCCGTACCAAGAAGGACAAGGTGGCCTCTCAGCCCAACCTCCCTGCCAGCCTGAGAGGGGAAGGTGTTGTTATTGTCAGTCAACCTTACATGCTCAGTGAATCGGGTATGTTTGTGTCCTTTTGGTGTCAGGGAGAGAGCGCTCCTGATCAGCTCACTCCTATTTTGCTGTGTTAGGAAGTTTTCACAGTTGCAGGAAGCCCCGCAATACTGAAGGAATTTTCCCCCCATATCTTTCATCATCTGAAGTTGTATAGCAGGGGTGGTCTTTTTCTTTGTTTCCTTGCAACCGGGACCTGCACTTTAATAAAACATTATAATAATTATAACATTATTTTCACCAGAGGAGAGACTGGGTAAGGACATTTCAAATGTCACGTAAGGGGATGGAGCCATTTTTGTTCTTCTTTTCTTCCTCCCAACTTTAAGGCTATTTTTGTTATTGTTTCTGTTCTGTTTTGTCTTTTTTTTAGCTACTTTAGGTGCACTAAGTTATCCCCAACAGAGTTGGCCACTTCAGTTTTTCCCATCAGACATTGGCAGAAAGCTGCATTGCAATTTTGTATGATTTGCCACTTAGGTTTTATGGCTGCAGTTCAGGAAGGGGGTCAAGAAAGAGGTTGAGGATTGTAAAATGACCTGCCTTCACTAGAGGGAATTATTCCTATCCCAGTAATAAGAATTAGTTTCCTGCCAAGTCCTTTAGTACCAACCAGGTGGTATTTCACAGCCTGTTTTCAATGAATACCTTTTATCTGTTTTCCTACCAGACTTCCCTCCTGTCTTCCACATAAAATTAAAGGACCAGGTATTGTTGGAGGGAGAGGCAGTGCAACTTTGCTGCCTTCCTGCTGCCAGCCCTGCCCCTTGCATTCTGTGGATGAAAGGTAAGTTCTGCACCACAAGGAGAGGCACATATTGTCCACTCTGAAGTTGGCCTGACTGAGGCCATCTTGGAGGCTTCAATGTTGCAGCAATGGTGCTGATGGGGGAGGGGGGGAGTAGAGATAGCTGGAGTTTGTAGCCAAAACAAAATAGTTTCCCCTGGGAACCAAGGACATTGCCAGAGGAGGCTGAAGAGAGGATGAGTGAAGTTTCCAAGCAACCGGACAGCACCTTGATTGGACTATGTGACTGATTGTTTGGGAAAGGGAGGAAACTTTTAATTAGGTGAAAACCAGGGAAACCTTTAGAGTCGGTTTTCACTAGACTGTGCCAATATGATATGTCCCATAAACCTGTTCTTTGAGGAACCTGCTTGTCTCGGAGTTCTGTTTACTATGGGTATATTACTTGGAACCCTGACTCGTATCCTGCACATATCTGGTAAGTTTGTATCAAACTTACCATATTTTTCAGAGTATAAGACGCACCTTTTTTCCTCAAAAAGAGGCTTAAAATCTGCGTGCGTCTTATACACTGAATACAGCATTTTTTGCCTCCCGAAACCCTGCCCCCTTCACTAAAATGGATGTGCATAGCTTGTAGGAGGCTTTCAGAGAGCTCCTGGGGGCTGGGGAGGGCAGAAATGAGCAGAAAACACGCCGTTTTTGGGGAGGTTTGCAGAGTGCAAAAACTTTTTTTTTTAATTTGCCTCCTAAAAACTTTGGTGCGTCTTATACTTCGGTACATCTTATATTCCGAAAAATACGGTATATGGTTGGATGCTTTGTTATCGAATGTGGGAAGCAATAGCAATGGAGCATAAATTTGAAAATCTGATGAAGAGCAGACTCAATCCTCAAAATCCCTAGTTTGGTTGAATTGACTATTTTCGGTCTCCCACAGATAAACGTGCCTTGGTTTCAGAGGGAGTTCTTAATATTGTGGCATGTAAAGATGGCCGTCAACTGCTTACCATTTCCAAAGTCTCCAAGAAGGACGCAGGCTTGTATGAATGTAATGCTACAAATGCCTTGGGCACTGCAACTAGTTCCTGCACCATTGCTGTGGCACGTAAGAATAAACAAAGATTTTCCACAACTCCCCCCTCCCCGAATCAATATTGATATCTCTGCCATATATACAGTTGTTGTTTCATGTCACTCAGTCCATTCTCCTTTTTAAAATCCATTTGGAACAGATCTTCCTGGGAGACCAGGCACTCCAGAAATTCCTCAAAAGTACAGGAACACAGTCCTGGTGCTGTGGAGGCCAGCAGACACTCAGGCGCCCGGCTGCTCATACACACTGGAATGCAAGATAGATGGTACGCACCTATTGGATATGGCAGAATGTACCCACTGCAGACATTCTCAAGAGCAGCTGTTCTCTACCTGGGAGCATTCTTGCATTTTTATTTAAATAATTCTGTCTCTTTCTAATGACTCTGTTACTTAATTGCTTGCCCCCTCCTGTCTACTCTGATTTTTCTCTTCTTTACTGGTAATACAACACAAAGAAGAGAGGATGAGTTTCCTGGTCTCCTTTCTCTAGCTTTTTGCGTTCAGTAAAACTCATCTGTTGTGCAACTCTTTCGTGGCTGATATTCGCACCATTTTGGGGAAGGGGCGTGGGAAGCCACAGTGAAAAGAGCAGTGATACAAAATGGTCATATATTGGAAGGGGTGGATTTTCTGCATTTGGGGGATGTGGTTCCTTGCAGTTTAAATCAAAGTATTAGTTAACTGCCTGTTACATCGCAGCTTAGGTGTTTCCTGCTTTGGACTGGGAGAAAACCAAGCTGTCCATTTTTAGCAACCATGCTTCTGACATTTGGTGACAGAAAGAACTCTGGGGTTGTGAGTTATGAGCTGCAGTAGCATAGTGGTTAGAATGCAGTATTGCAGGCTACTTCTGCTGACTGCCGGCTGCCTACAATTTGGCAGTTCACACCTTACCAGGCTCAAGGTTGACTCAGCCTTTCATCCTTCAGAGGTGGATAAAATGAAGACCCAGATTGTTGGTGGCAATATGCTGACTCTGTAAACCGCTTAGAGAGGGCTGTAAAGCACTGTGAAGCGGTATATAAGTGCTACTGCCATTGCTATCTCTGATTCCATGGACTAAGTCCAAGTATGAAGACCAGATTTTGACCAGTGGCCAAATGGAATATGGAAGTTTCTGAGACTTGAAAAAATTTCTTGTTTAGCATAGCGTTTTCACTTTCATTTGACCACCGATATATGTACCCGGCTATTTGCATTAAATTTGCAAAGGAAATTATATGAGATTGAAAATAATTGAGATCCTTAAGGTGGCATGAAACGTGACAGTCAAGACCATTCACGGGATCTGATATATGTATGTATGTTTGTATGTATGTGTGTGTGTGTGTGTGTGTGTGTGTGTGTATCCCTTTTCTCTCTCCCTCAGGAGAACATGATTGGAAAACAATTAACTCAGGCATTGCTGACTGCTACTTCAATGCAACAGATCTTCCTGTTGGAAACACCATCAAGTTTCGTGTTGCCTGTGCCAACAAGGCTGGACAAGGCCCATACAGCAACCCTTCGGGGAAAGTATTCATTGAGGGTGCAGGTGAGAAGGAAGAAAGGCTCATATTAAATCATGTTAGGTTACATTATTTTTTTGGTGAAATAAAATACCCAGAACCATTTAAAAGTATACATAATAAAACAGTCCTTATTCTCCAATTTACAGCCAAAATGCTAACATTTAACGAAAAGAACTGGGTGGAGGGACGAGACATGATGAGTCAATTATCTGGATGGATGGGAATTTTCTTGTTCTGTATTTGATGGTACTCATATTAAAAATAAGATTTTCACTGCTTCTATCTTTCTGAAGTGGCAATTTCTCTTCTGTTGTTAACATACCTTTTTATTTATTTTACTTACGTATTAAATTTGCTTGCTGCCTATCACGTTACAGGGTGGCAATACCTTTGCTTTCTATTCATGTCTTTAAGCTTAATCCCCTCCCCCACCTAATGCCCCTTCATGGTGATACAGTTCTTGAGACGTCCTTCTGTGGGTAATTCAGAAAGCAGGAGGCAAAAGAGATACCGGTAGAGGTTGTTTGGTGGTATCTCATCAAGCTTGTTTCTTATAACAGCCAACCCCCTGTTCTATTTTGTATGGTTAGTGCTTGTCATATAGTTCCACATTCTGGATTATGCCTTCAACTGACCATAATTCCATCTCATGGTAGCAAAATGCATGTTATCTGTCTTTAATACAGAGAACGTTCCAGAGGTGGTATTCAGCAGGTTCTGACCAGTTCTGAAAAACCGGTAGCGGAAATTTTGAGAGATAGTTCAGAGAAGCGGTAAATACCACCTCTGACTGGCCCCGCCCCCATCTACTCTCTGCCTCCGAAGTCCCAACTGATTGGGAGGAAATGGGGATTTTATAGTATCCTTCCCCTGCCACACCCACCAAGCAAAGCCACCCCCACCAAGCCACCCCCACAGAACCAGTAGTAAATATTTTTGAATCCCACCACTGCAGCATTCCTTCCTTCACCTCATTCTATCGCTGTTGGCATTCCTATTTTAGAGAGGAACTCTGCATTCTCACTGACCTTTGGATAGAAAGTGAGCCTAGAATCTTTCACCTTTGTTTTTTTTTTCTTTCCTCCCATTCAGAACCCACAGCTTCCCATTCAGGTCTTCCTGCCAAGAGGAATAGAACAGCTTCTACCAGGTCTACTCAGACACTTCCTGATCAGACGCCCCAGCCAATGATGAAAAGCACAGGTCCTCTGTTGACCTCCGAGCCAGTTTTAGGAGAGGTTCCTCCTGGGCCACAAGAGATTCAAGTCAGTGAGGAGGCATCTATGGCTTCAGAGAAAGAAAAACTCCCAATTACAGCTCTCCTTCCATCTTCCCAGGATTCCTCCTCTTTGGAAGATCCATCCATGACAAAGGCCCCTTTCCCAGAATCAAGATTAAAGCCTTCCAGGACAGCATCTTCCCTCACCACCCAAAACGTCTCAACTACCACCAAAGGTTTGCTTGCCCCAACATCATCCCCTGATTCTTCTCTCTCCACGTTCTCCCCAGTCCAGCCTGCACTTCCAACGTCCACAGTGGACTCGCCAGGGACCATCACTCCTAAAACTGTGCCATATGTTGCCACCTCTTTTGTTTCCATCCCATCAAGACCACCTGTCCCAACAGATGATGCTCCCAGCCCCTCAGTCACCCCTACCACAGAGGAAATGCCTTCACACACACGTTTTCTAAGGCGGAACCTTTCCTCCAGTAAGGATACTAGTAGTGGAGCCCGGGGTAGTCTTACTTCAAAAGATGAATCCGCATTGCGCCAAGGAGTTCCTCAAAAACCTTACACCTTCTTGGATGAGAAAGCGAGGTAAGCTATTCATATCAATAACAAAACTGCCATGTACTGAATCATACCTTGGGCCATTTAGCCCAGTATTCCATGTGAATGTGAGTTGTCCAATAGGCTCATAAGATGACATTTTTCCTTTCCCCTGGAGCTTTTTGGCCAGAGATCCCAGAGGTTCATGGAGTTATTTTTGCAATATGATGTTTTAGATAAATTAAAACAGAGGGTTTTGTACCATGGCAAAGCGGGGCCGATTGAGTTGAATAGATCATGTAGCTCCCAAATCATTGCAATACAATGAACTGAACTCTATTGTTTGTCTCATGGATTAGTCCAGGGATAATGTGGTTCATCATGTCCCTTAGTAAATGCAGGAATCCAGATTAAAGTATCTGACATGTGTTATTCAGCTTCTTCTGGAACAAATCTAGCAAAGGGAAACTCAACCCCTCAATGGGTAATTGGGTTCACTGATGAATTGTTTTACCCATTTTTCTTAACAGCCAGTGGGAATTTGCTATTTCATAGGTAAAGGTAAGGGTTCCCTGGCACATATGGGGTAGTCGTTCCTGACTCTAGGGGGCAGTGCTCATATCAGTTTCAAAGCCGAAGAGCCAGCGCTGTCCGAAGACGTCTCCGTGGTCATATGGCTGGCATGACTAAACACCGAAGGTGCACAGAACATTGTTACCTTCCCATCAAAGGTGGTCCCTATTTTTCTATTTGCATTTTTACATGCTTTCGAACTACAAGGTTGGCAGAAGCTGGGACAGGTAATGGGAGCTCACTCCGTTATGCGGCGCTAGGGATTCGAACAGCTTGAATTGCTGACCTTTCTGATTGACAAGCTCAGAGTCCTAGCCATTGAGCCACCGTGACCCCTGCTATTGCATAATTTACCATAATTTCATACCCTACATTTTAGGAAGGAAGAACATATTTCTGACATCCTTTCAGGTACTTGAAGAGATTCTCACACTTTTTAAGGACAAATATACCTAGTTTCCTCATTAGGAATATCTATAAGACTACAACTCCCAAGCTGTCAGGGAGCTTGTGAGGAACCATGAGAAATCTGTTGCTAATCTCTCAAGATCTGTAGAGATTATTGATTTATAGTTCTGTATTACAAACATCAGGTTGCAAGGAGTTGACATGATAGGCTGCACATTGCACACCCTTTTCTTTAACTAAGCATTTTCAACATTGGTCTTGAACAGTAAACCTCAAAACAACCTCATGGTTTTTGTAGGAGTGAGAAAAAAGATTTGCATTTCCTGTTCCCTGTTTTGTATTATCCTTTATAATGTCTAGAATATTTACCTCCACCTCTTTAATGGATTATGTGATATTACACACATTAGGACATCAAAAAGAAGTGTGAGGAACAGGATACATAATTTACCCTTCTTGTTTCTCTAGCAAGTTGTAATGCCAATTGTAAGTAAAACTAGTCAATACCAATTCACCAAGTTTTTTACAAGGAATGACTCTGGACTTCCGACTGATGTATTTTGAAATACATTTTTATTATTTTTACATTTAAAACAATGTAGTACTGCAGAGCCAAAGTGACCATACTTTCACATTATACACAGTTAGTCTCAACCATTAACTATTGGCCTACCAGTGACGTGCAGTGACTAGAGGCAGGGGAGGCGGGGCCTCACCAGTCTCCTGAGGAAAATGAAACAATTTTTAAAATAATTAAAAAGGCCAAGGTAGTTGCTCCCAGAGTCACAGTGACTCTGAGTCTGCTTAGTGCAGTTAGTAGGAGGAGGCTAGAGAACTATGGGCCTCCTTTGCATAAGGAATTTTTCACCTTTTAAGTGTCAACTAAGGGTTAAAACGTGAAAATTACGTATGCAAATGAGGCACTTGATACTCCCGCCTCCTCCTGCAGAGGGCACTTTGTTTAGAGCCTATTTTAAAATGTTTAAGCAGAGTCATCCACGTGGTTTATGAGTTTATGAGTTTATGAGTTTATG